TCAACATCTCTGGTAAGGATTTTTTCAACTCTGATTCCTGCACTTGAAATCTGGGACCAGATGTATAAGCCTTTCCAAGTGCACATGCTTGACTCTCTAGATGAAGGCGGCCAGAACCAGTCAAACTAATTTCATCTTCTTTTGGATGTGATCTTCTAAATGTTGACTTTTTGATGGCTTTTGCACGTGATATAAGACCCTTTATCCTCTCCAGCTTCTGCTTTTCAGCAACCAAGGTTTCCTTGTTGTTTTGACTTTTTTCAAGTTCTTCAACTACTTTGGATTTTTTTTTAAAGGCAGCATTGAGCCCCTCTAGACCCAAGTCATGACTATTATCATAATTGGTTAGTGGTTGAGTTGTGACTATAAATTCCTTGCTAGATCCGCTTGTGCTGGTGTTGGTAATTGTGGGCATGTGTACATACAGAAAGTCATTATCTTGGAAGAAGGTATGAAATGCTTGCGTAATGGCATCACGTATTCGCATAACAGATGCCACCTACAAAACCGAGCAACTTGATTTCAAATATATAAAGATGTGCAACCTTGGACATGTGCAACCTTAATTGCAAATGGCAGAAAAAACAACCCTCGTACGTTACAGTTGGTAGTATGAGGCTATGAGCCATGAGAAGCAACTGTAGTATCTCCTTGTTTGGGCCATTAGGCCCAGGGGCGGAGGTAGGGGGCAACCTAGGCCCTGGGCCACCCCAAATTTAAGGTAAACAATTTTGCGTGAAAATGTTTCCAAAAATATTCCAGTCGCCCCCTAATTAGGCCATATGTGACTAAGAGGCATAGGGGCCTATTTAAAGTTCATAGTGGAAGATATTGTGGCTGATGTTTATCAATTTAGCATGGTCAGTGAAACAAATTATTTTGGTAAAGAAGGCCGATAAGGTAAAAAGTGGACACGGAACAGCTTCTTAACTTTCAATCAAATTCATGCTCTGAGCATAACAATTGGCAGATACATCAGTTGATTTTATATAAAGCAAGCAATCTTAAGGTGATACTAGTGAAAAGGATGGGAGAACAAAAGTTGAATAGTGAAAATAGGAATCACCGTTGTTGTTCTTGTTCGGAAGTGAGTCCAATCCCTTAAAAGCGTCAAGGGCAAGGGTTTCTTCGACAGTGGATAGTTAATCTGGTCAACGGTCCCAAGATGCAGAACTTTGTCTACTTTCAGTTCAACAGCATGTTTTCCCGTAGACGCTGGCTGCTGCAATATACCTTCTGCCAGTATGCACGTTCCAGTAGGCATGATTTGGGAAGGGATTGCCAGCTCAGAGTCCACCACAACCTATAGCATACACAGCAACTAGATTCTAATTTTTGAGGGGGGAAATTGAAAAGTGAAAGAGGCATTTTGTCAAACAGAATGAGATCCTTTTGGCATACCCGAAGAATGTTCACAGAGGAGCCATCGCTAACTTTCAAAATCATAAATGATGGGGGCGGCCGTTTTACTACATCCGAATTGGTATTCTCAGGAATCCTGGAATGTCCTTCTCCTCTAAAAACCTTAATGATTGACCGGATAAGCGGGAAACTGGATAGAATGACTTCCACACAGCTCACACCTTCACTCCCCGCAACCGGCTGAAGGTCATCCTCCTTCTTACTCTCCTCGGAAGACCTAACCCACCCCCCAATCACGACCCTCTGGCCAACATATCCCAATCCACCATCTTCCCGATCAAATATAGTTTTCAAGATGACCCTATTCGTATACTTATTGGTACTTGGTATACTGCCCACAGCTGTTTCTGATGAGGCCATTTATTCTTTTCAATATGATCAGGAATATATTTTTTGGGTTTGATTTGAATATTGATATTCGGGGGGTGTAAAGTTATTGTGCTAAAGAGGGATTCCATAAGGGTTTCTATATATACTAACATAGGAATGAATAGAATGGCAGAAGATGGGTGCTTTGCTTGAGAAGCAAATGGGGAATTGAAGAAGAAGATAGAAGAAGAGGATTTCAAGAAGTCTGGGAAAGAAAGGAAGGGATTGTTTCTGAGTCTGGCCTTGTAGTTTTTAGATAGTTCATAGTTTTTAAATATGTTTTTAGTCCCTTTAATAGTACACTAGTAAATCACCCGTGCGATGCACGGTTTGGGAGTTTCTACCCCATTTTTTCTCGTCAAAATGTTTTCAACACGATATGCCCAAAAAGATTTGTTGATGATAAAAAAACACTTTGGAGTCAACTTAGAGAGTACACAATTCAAAATCAAGGAAACATACAACAAAGAAATATAATACTACCTAATAAACTAAACCAAATTAATTCTGCAAAGAACTACAGGCATGAGTTAAAAAAACAGAATCAAATACTACGTTAGACGTTAATGAAAACTTGCTTATAAACCACATTTTGAGTGGCATTCACCCGGTGGCGGAGCCAGGATGGACAGGCTACAGGGGCCGGGGCTTTAAGAATTTATATAACAGGTGTCAAAACTTAAATTTTCACTATATTTTTCACTACTTATAAATGTTTATTCATATATATATATATATATATATATATATATATATATATATACATCACAATTTTTTTCTTGTAGGGGCCGAGGCCACTGCCAGTCTCCCCCCGTCTCCACCCCTGCATTCACCCTCGTGCCGCTCTCTTCGTATATGAGTATTTTCAAACCACGCCTATCTATCTCACTTGAAACCGCCACATAGAGTTGTCCATGCATAAACACAGGTTTTTTCAACAACCCCACAAGGGACAACAATTGGCCTTGACTTTTATTTATTGTCATAACATATGAAATCACAATGGAGTACTGTCGCCGCTAAAATCTAAAAGGCAAGTTGGCATCCGAGGGAGTCAAGGACAATCGAGGAATCAACACTTTTTGTCCACCACTAATACCAGTCAAAATTTTCTCCTCCAAAACATGATCACAAAGCCTATTGAGAATGAGCCGAGTGTCATTATACAACCCCATTGAATGATCAACAATTCTCAGAAGTTTTTATTTCTCACCAGTGATGGGTCCAAAACCAACGTCACCAGTTGCATTTTATTCCTTGTCAAATATGTTGAATCCACAGTATTCATGTCATGCCTTAACGATACGTTTTTTTTCAAATCTTTTAACTGAGCTGAATTAATTAATTTAAATAACACAACGTTAAAGGACAATGTAATACATAACGAAAGCTGGGGCAAAACGGAAAAATGATAAAAAAAATCTGTCATTAAATCAAAGCACAATAGTATTACTATAATCTGAACTGAAACAACCAATACTGACTACAAAAACAGTGACATATTACAATGAAACAATATTTTAATTACTCGTATTGAATATCAAATATATTGGCTGAACACAAAAAAGGAAAAAATGGATAAATATAATAAAGCCTCAAATAGGCAATTTATAAGAAATTAATTTTAGCAAAAAAACAAACATTCCAATAATGAAGCCCAATGTTTTTCCGGGAAGAAGCCAAAACGGATCACATGTGCGCCCAAACAAAGCCAACAATCACAGCCCAATAACCCATAACCTAACCCATATATTCCCTGAACTGCTCATCCCCACCCAAACCCTGAAATTACGACACTTACAGCTCCACCATCTCTCTCTAGTCTCTAACGAACTGAGCACATCGGAAACCTACACACCGGCCCATCGCAGAACAACATCAGATCTTATAAAAATAACTCCAGCCAGAAGAAAAAACGTCTATCCTCAACCTATGAACCAAACTCCAAACCATATCCCCTCAAACACACAGCATGAAGTAGCACTCCGCCATCGATGCCTAACAACGACGATTAGGAGAGGCCTAGAGCACTACGGAGAAGACACCAAACGCCACCGGCTATTAACAACGACGTTCAGGAATAGGCTTCAAAGGTAACCTTCCTCATCTGAAATCACACAAAACCACAAACCCTACTCAAACCCTACCCCCAACCCTTTACATGCACGAACACAACACTAATGCTTCTGGTGATTTTTTCATTAACTTTCAACAAAATTATCGTTAAACTTTTACGCAAAAAATATGATAAAACCACAGATCTGGTCTTTTTTTCATCCGGTTCGGAAAGACAATCCTCCAAGATCGAACGATTTTGAATGGAAGTAATTGTATTTTGTAAGAATAAAATTGGAAAAAATATAGATCAAAACTTATCAACAATTTAACACACAGATCTGCAAGATCCAAATTTTTGTCTATTTTTTCGCCATGATTTAAACATCAACACCAAAAAATTTACACATTATTTTTGCGCAAATATTAACGAAGCATTTTTTTTACCAAACACGGTAGGTTTTTATCAGACTGGTTTTTCCAGATTAATTTGCGCATGTATACCAATTTATTTTTATTAATCATCTTTAGTAAATTATTTTAATATTAATAATAATCAGAAAAACATATTTATTTTTTCTATTGAAACTCATTCCTTTAATTTTTCGTTATAAATAGAAGTAGTTGTAATTTTTTTTCCAAATCAGAGGGAATCGATTTTTTAAATAGTTATTTTAATCAGAGCCCTAACTTATTAGAAGAAGGGCTACGGAAATGTCTAGGATTTTTTTTAAATGACATGTGAATTTTTTACCTAACAAAAAAATTATTACTAAAACATTTTTTTAAAAGAAGAATCTAGACACAGTAGAAAAGTACAGACAAAATAATGTGGCAACCTGCGTAATTTCAGACCGTGCCCCACCCACGTGCTATTTTCAAAGTTCAAAACACCCACCCCATACACATCATTTAAATCCAACCACCCAACACCATTTATTTTTCTCGAACCACCCAACCGCTACCCACTCCTTCAGGCCTTAACTAATCGAACCTCCCACCACCAAACGAACTTAAAGGCCCTCGATTAAATCGAACGGTCACAAATTCACCTTTTCTATAAAAAATCATAAATTCAAACACCATTATTTTAAAACCCAACCAACAACAGTAATGACGAAGATCAGTCCCACCCGCCAATATCAATATAGCAACAACCATAGCTAAAAAACAACACAGTCCTTCCACTAAACCAAATCTCCCCCACTTTAAACATTTGCCTTACTCATAGAAAGGGAAAACCATCCAAAGTCACTACGTATACTTTTAACAATAATCAATCCTATATTCTACTTCATATTCGAAATGCATAAAAGCTTCTAACCTCCTATTTTCCATTAAAAACTGCATGACGGCAATGGGTGAAACCATCAATAGCACGTGTACTATGAGTCAGAGCACACAAAAGGTAACAACGACTCCCTTGTAAATATTATTTGTTATTCTATTTTACAGTCCACATAAACTAATAACGGTGTACACCATACGTTCATGACTGCCCCATAACCGGAGTCAAAATGTATGCAGCAAACATCATGCCCACAAACGGCAATAAAAGGTGATGTTCTATCTATATAACTCATTTTTTATTATTCATTAAAACGTTTTATTTCCTCATAAGAATTTAACAAAATATTAACCAAAAAAATTGTCCCACGTTGCTGCCCAGGAGAATGGATCATATAAGTTCCTAACACTCATCCGTGTATTCTTGTAATGGCATGAAAGGAAATGAATTCAGTGTCATCAGCAACGGGCACATCAGATAATGCACAGGAGCCTAACATGCCTACTAAAGGTAAGAACTAAATCGTAAATGATTGTTAATGACTTAAATTTGTCAAATACTGTCAAGGAAACTAAAACCTTACACTCTATCTGTAAACTCTATCTTCACACTCAAGAACACTATATTTTTTTCCGCAGAGCGAAAATGGTAAAAGTTTCTGCTGATTCCTAAACAATTATTTTACTTTAAGCACATCAAAGAACAGAACAAAAACATTAAATATTTTGAGAAATGCAAATGAAATAATAGGATGTTTATGTTGTGCTTAACATTAATACCCAGAATCATAAAAAGCTTCATCCTTTGAAAGAAGTTACCTGGTATTATAAACTGTGAACCAAATCATTTAAAATGCCTTACAGGGTAGAAGCAATTTATTATCTATTATCATAATAGGATGCTATCAATGGCACAGAAAGGCCACGAATGCTTGTATTATCATTACTTAAAACCATTATAAGAACTGCCAAGGTTTAACGAATTGCCCTGGACATGCCAGCCAATCAGGGGGGTAATATGTGGTGGAAAGGGCAAAGGGCACATCAAGATAATGCACAGGAGCATAACATGCCTACTAAAGGTCAGAACTAAATCGTAAATGATTTTTTATGCATTAAATTTGTCAAATACTGTCAAGGAAACCAAAACCTTACACTCTATCTGTAAACTCTATCTTCACACTCAAGAACACTATTTTTTTTTTTCGCAGAGCGAAAATGGTAAAAGTTTCTGTTGATTCCTAAGCAATTATTTTACTTTAAACACATCAAAGAACAGAACAAAAACATTAAATATTTTGAGAAACGCAAATGAAATAATAGGATGTTTATGTCGTGCTTAACATTAATACCCGGATTTATAAAAAGCTTTATCCATTGAAAGAAGTTACCTGGTATTATAAACTGTGAACCAAATCATTTAAAATGCCTTACATAGTAGAAGGAAATTATTATCTATTATCATGACAGGATGCTATCAATGGAACAGAAAGGCCACAAATGCTTGTATTATCATTACTTGAAACCATTATAAGAACTGCCAAGGTTTAACGAATTGCCCTGGACATGCCAGCCAATCAGGGGGGGTAATCTGTGGTGGAATGTTCTCTAGAGAGTTTATTATATATACTTGTTCATATTTTCTATTTGAATTGGTACCACATATTCTCCCAACATATTGCTGAAATTAAAACAGGTTCATTTATTTCACAATTAAGATTGTTGTCAAATTTTTATACAGATTTGACCTTAGGCCATTCACCTCAATTCTGCATTATTCATTAATCTAGAGCTATCAAAGATTTGCATTTTCTATGACTTCTAACAACTGTTTACATGATAAAATTGCAGGGACCGCTCAAGGCTCATTAATTTTAAGTTCTGAAGAATCGCTACCACATGCCAACCCCCCTCCCCTTTATTTAAGTTTGAAAATGTTGTAATGATTAGATATAAGGTAGATTTAGGGCACCACGGGATGCCCCAAAACAGGCCACAGGTACGCTTCTCTATGCACTGATTGAACTGATGTTTCGTTCTACAGCTTTACCCGAAATTAACTTGGAACTATGTATGGACTATAGATTATTTTCTAAACAAATGCATGGCTCCATTGAACTTTTATTTGGAACATCACAAAACCTGAATGTTTAGGAGTATATTAATCCAATATACATTTTGTGAACGAAAGAAAACCATAAAAATCACGTTTTCAATCATGTTTTGGATTATATCTGTTTTGAAGAATTAAAAAAACTAAAACATTAGATAATACCACCTTAGTTATTTTAATGCAATCTATGGTCCTGCTGTTATTGTATGTGTTGCACAGAAGCAATACTGCCTTTAGTCCTTTGGACCCATTAAGTTTGTGAGACATCAGCTATACTAAACAAAATATTATATACTTGTATTGAAATGCATCCCAGGTACACATAGGCACTTTATGAGTTTATGCGCACCATGCCTATTAATTTTTCTGTTCAGGGAAAACTATTCAAGGAAAATAACGTCAACTGAGCGGTAAATGCTAATGAATTCTAGATTATAAAATAATATAAAGTATATGTTTATTTTGAGAACTGAAAAGGTTAATCATGTCATGAAATAAACATTTTTGTGCGCCATATCTCTTGTTGATGTTGTTCAGGGCATCCAAATCCAGATTGTGTGTTTCTCACTAATAAACATGTTGATAAACGTTTCTGAAATGTGTGCATGCATCTTGGACCCCTGAAATACGAAACGGTGTTGGAATAAATTGATTTTTAGAAAAGTAGATGAAACATTTTACAAATGTAAACCATAAAACGCTCCAACCTTCTCGTCATGAAAGATGACCTCTTATGGACTATGACTCAGGAAAACAGTCATGAATTGGCTCCTTAAACCCAGTATCAACCTCGGCTTGGTGGTCCATCTCACGGAATTGGTACACATGCCCACCATTTTCAGAAAACCTTGTGTTTTTTGTTTTCTTTGCTGCCCATGACTGACCATGAGTTGGATGCTGTAACATGGCTATCCCTGCTTTTATAACCGTGAATTTCAAGCCTCAGTGAACCAATTGGAACACTATATGAATTGGGGGGAAAACTTTATTTCAAATTTTGAATTCTAAAAAATGACAGCAAATCAGAACAATTATTCACCTCTGTATCATCCGCACTAATTTTACTGTTCATCGAAAAAGCAACCAATGAGAATCAGCCACAGTGGGTTGGAAATCCTAAAGAAATCTATACAGTGTCTCAACTTTCTGCATCCATTCGTTTCTTTCAAAACGTCACATGCAGGGGCCCAACTTTACTATTTTTTACACGATAAACCCTCAGCAAACCTTCGATCAATGAACAATGCACAACAAAGAATTGACAGTGACATTTCCGAGCGGGAAAAGCAGGCCCCCATTCATTTTGCTATTAGATTATAATGGATTTTGTTTTACATTCCTACAAAATATTTTTTTTTTGTTTTTTGTCCCTACGGTTTAGGATGGTTTTGTTTTTAGTCCATCACTGATGATAATAATTTTCGATTGACCTTAAAATAACCCCGATTAATAGATACTCTCTAATTCTTTGTCATGCTATTAAAAAAGTATATAATTTTATTTCTTAGAAGGTTTTTAATATATATATATATTTAAATGTGAATACTTAGTTTTACACTGTTTTAACTCTCATATTAGCCTCAAAAAATTATAAAAGGAAGAATTTAAATATTTCCAGTAGATTTATGTAACTGACAATAACTTTTTTTGTGAGTAGAGTAGTTTCAGAATCATAGATAGACTAAAAACAAAATAGTGCATATTGCAGAAACAAGAAAGATATTTTGCAGGGACTTAAAACAAATTGTGTCATATTTGCAGGGACTAAAAACATATATAAGCCTTTTTTATATACCTCATTGTACTGGTTTAGAGCTCCTGCATGTTGGATTGGACCTTTGGTGCGCACGGGTACAAGGTCTACTATCATTGGAGCGATTGAATCACTGTGACTTATAACCTCACAAAAGTTTTGTCAAGTCCGGGCGTGGGGACCCTTAAGGTTGGGGATTCAACCTTTGGAACAATGAATTAATAATCCAAAATTTCAACTCTATGAAATTTGAGGTCTACTTAAAAAATTTAGGATATATTTATATAAATATGACTAAATCGATTATAAATAAAATATCATTATCATTTAGGAAAAATTGAAAATAATAATCTCAATTATTGCTGGTCCGCCGATAATAATCTCAACTATTGATTTTTTTTGTATAATCCCAACTATATAGACCATCCGCCAATAATGGTCCATGACCAGATATTATCTCCTATAAAAAGTGAATTTTAAATAGAGATTAAGCGTAAAATTAAAAGTTGGGATTATTTATAGGGATTACTTGTTATATCTCTTCTCATCGACTTTAGAAACTACGAGAATTTATTTAAAGGGACCAATATTGGCGGAAGGTCCCTAAAGTTGGGATTATTCTGAAATAATCGATAGTTGGGATTATTATAGGTGGACCATCAATAGTTGGGATTATTACTATCAATTCTTCCTATCATTTAAGTGTATAAATTGAACATATATTACTGTAATTAAATTATTACTATAATAATTACACTTAAGAGGATCATATTTTTTAAACAATCTCTTTGGTCACAAATTTATAATTATTTCATAAAAAATCACTAATTCAATTTAGAGTCTATATTAAACCGCATATACCTTTATAGCCGACCTGTCAAACTTTATTATCTAGCAGTTAATTTTTATTTTCACATGCTTCACTTAAATAATATCAAGATAAGTAAGATTGAAAACATTTTTCCAATTGAATTGATTTAAGGTAGTGTTTGCGAGAGATTAAAAAAAGTGTTTTCAAGTGACATCTTCTACTTAAAAACTAAAGGATGGAAGCAGGTTGAGAGATGTTTTAAAGTGTTTTTCACTTTTTCTATTCCATAAAAAGTAAGTATTTTATCAAACGTTGTCCACTTTTACTTTTTCAAAAGCACTTTTTTCTCAAACACTAATAACTTTTACTATTAAGCAGTTTTTCTAAAATCACTTCAAAAAATTACGTCTTTAAAGTAGAAGCAAACACAAACACTCCCTAAATTTCCTAAATTAATGTTAATCAAATAAATAATTCCCAAAATACTGAAGAGTTGAAAATAATTCTCACAATATATTGGGCTAACCGTGGTTAATAAAAGGCGTCCTCTGGGATGGCGGTCTATAAGTTGACACTTAAGTGGCGGCACTTGTGAAGTAAAGCGCTGGCCATCTTTGTTAGTAATATACGGTACGTGAATAATACAATAATATGTACGTTCGTGTATAATACGATACAATTATATAAAATACGGTTTAATATATGTTTCATACGTTCGTGAAATATATAAAGATACGGACGCGTTTTAAACGTTTCACAATTTAAAAATACGGCATATAATATGTGTCTTATATACGAAGTACTTATTTAATGATAGAAATAAAGAGTTATTTAACATTTGCACCCCAATCTTCAACAATTTAAAATGTACGGAATAGTTTTTTTTTCTTTTCAGATTTACGTATTTAAATGCATAGGTACAATACGTAATAAAAATGACATTGCCTATTTAAGTAGAAGTGGAGAGATATTACTAGAAAATAGTTGATATTACTTTGACCATGAGTTTAGTGAGCCGCCACAACATTTTTCAATATCTTTGGAGTCTTGGTATATGGGTGGAGAACAAAAGTAATACAGTAGTAGTACAATAGAAATATCGAAACAGATTACGAATTTAAGAAGCTAATTCATTAAATGTAATGACCGTTAAACAATTAGCGAACATATAAGGCATAACGTTTTTTAAGCAATATAAATAATATTGATTAGCTTGACATGCATTTTGTTTCAGTTGTATCACTCCATTAGGCTTCCGTTTAATGGTGTTTTTTTTCATAAAATACGTATCAATACGTACAGTACGTGTATTATACATTTTATCCTTAAAGCACGTGAGTTTTTCAGAATTTTCTGAAAATGTCATAAACAGGAGTATTATACGTAATAAAAATACGTATCAATACGTACGGTACGTGTATTATACATTTTATCCTTAAAGTACATGAATTTTTCAAAAAAATTTGAAAAATTCATAAACGGGAGTATTATACGTGAATTGTACGTTCGAGTGTATTATACGCGAATTATACGCGAATAAACTAACAAAGCTGGCCATAACCTTTTTTTTTTTGTTTCTAGCTTAAGACTATGCAATGCATTCGTTGCTAGATTAAGAAAGATTATGCAATTGCTCAAGTATAAGACAATCGTTTCTGAATAAAACTAAATCCGGTTTATAACTTTTATGGTACAATATTCTGATTAGTATCTAATTAGTATCCGATGAAATTCGAGGACCCTTGATTTTCTGATGAGGAGACGGTGCTAGCTACGCGGATTGTCGCAAGTGGTACTCAGAACCTTCGGGTGCTCGTGACCAACGCTGCGATGCAGGATGCAGGGATAAGAAATCTCCCCTAGAGTCGTCCGTTTTTGTGCTTTAATAATTCATTTCCCTCCTTCCCTGGAGGTGTTTATTCTGCTCTGCCAGAAATGGATCGCAGTACTAGGACCCCTCGTCCCCGACTAAAATGTTTTCTTTTGGATTGTTTTTAGTCCCAGACCAGATCAGACCAGATCAGACCAGATCAGACTAGACTTCCGTAGTTATAAAATACACAGAGACCAGACGTTTATCAGACCAGACCAGACCAGACCAGACTAGCAAATTTCAGTTCAAAAGAAAACATCCTAAATGAATAAGGGAAAGGGGAAGATTGTGGTTGAAGCCGCGCGTCTCACCCTACAGCCCCATGTTAAGACCTCTCCCAACGCAGGTGCCGCTCAGAAGAAGATGAAGCTCGACTGAGCCCCTCACCCCACTGATCTGGTAGATCTTACGGATGATGATTCCATAGTCCCACTATCCAAACCTAAGACCCCCCGGGAGCACGCTCTCGGGGGAGATGAGGGTTTCTCTCTGGGCATCGTTGAATACTCCGGGTTAGGGCCCCGCTCAGAGTCCAGGGTGTTGTTTGGTCAGTCTCCCTCCTCCCTGTGGTGTTCGATTGGCTGAAGTTCCTTTAGATTTTGTTGTTTTGGATGAGCCCAAGGATCTGGTGGAGGGTGGCCTGAATGAGTTGACTAAGGTTGGTGTGTGAATGGATCGGGTCCAAACCGAAACTTTCGAGCAAGGCCCGAGCAACTTTCGAGCGTCAAAACATGCGAGGTCTGTGAATGGTTCGGGTCCGAACCAAAACGTAGTGTTCCAAACCTGGATCCGCTAAGTTAATAAAGGACTAGGACCCGTATAGCATTATTTTGACATCCTGCAAGCTAAAATTTGAACTTCACTTTCATCTATCCGAACAAAGAATCCACAGCCTCCTCTTGCCTTCAACAATTTCAAAAAAAACTTGCATAAGTAATTACTAAAAAGAGTTAAAACAGAACTACAAGTTCACATTTTACAGTTGTGCTCCCAAATCAATCTTCGTCCCAAAAAAACAAGGGCTACAATGTCACAAATTTTGCTTCACATTTTGCAAATTAACCACAAATTGGTCTCCCATCAGCAAATTAAAGTTTGAATATGATTTTAGCTTCGCATACCTTTCATCATTGACATCCAAAAACTTACGATCAGTTCCTGTGCCAACACACAAAGAAGGCTTCAGGCCACAATGGTAAAACACACTTGGTTTGTAGTTCAGAATCGGAATAATCCTTGTGTTTGAATTAAACGAACCTGAAGACATTCTTGGACCGCTGATGATGAAAGATGAGAAAACTAATTTTAGGATTCAGAGAGAGATAGATGGAGACTGCTGATTATTATGGAATGAACCCCTTTTTATGGTTTAAATGAAGTAACGATGTGATGATGTGGAAAAAATATATCAGATTGGGTAAAATTAGTACACCTAAGCAAATAATCAGGATTTGCAAGTGCTTATTCGATCATCTGACTTTATTTACAAAGTAAGTGCATGGGTGTTACTTTTTAAAGTACATGGACTTAAGTGTAACACCCCGGCCCCGCATGACTTGAGGTAGTTACTCCGGACCTCATGCGCGCCCTAAGAAACGTTCCAATGGGTCACCCATCCTAAGACTACTCCCGTGCAAGCACGCTTAACTTTGGAGTTTTTAGGTGATGAGCTCCCTTAAAAGGAGATGCACCCCTGTTGGTATAAGTAGTACTATTAATCCCCTTAAATTAATCTCGGGTATTACAATCACCCCCACTTAGTATCGCAACGTCTTTGTTGCACCCTTAAACCAATCTCAATCAAACCCCAGAATCTTTCCCCCTGCTAAGTGTCTTCCCGATATCCAACGGATCAGCACACTGTCGCAGGGTTGCTCTGATACCATTTGTAACACCCCGGCCCCGTGGGACCCGAGGTATTTACTCCGGACCTCTAGTACTGTCCTCACAAACCACCACGAGCCTTTACCGTGCATTTTGTCCTCACTCATGCGCGCCCTGAGAAACTTCTCAGGGGGTCACCCATCCCAAGACTACTCCCGTGCAAGCCCGCTTAACTTTGGAGTTCTTAGGTGATGAGCTCCCTTAAAAGGAGATGCACCTCTGTTGGTATGAGTAGTACTATTAATCCTATTAAATTAATCCCGGGGTATGAGTAGTACTATTAATCCTATTAAATTAATCCCGTGTATTACATTAAGCGATGGTTTCATAATTGAAGGACTTATTTGACCTTTATTCCTAAATAAAATAAATGTTTAAAGGTGTTAATCGTAACCTTTCCAATACCTTAACCAATCATCTTTTAACACCCTAGATTAGGGTGTTCTAATGTATTGGAATAATACTTGCCCTTTTTTCTATTTAAAAACGGGGAAAACTACAATAAAGTTGCTTGTGGTTTGGACCGTTTTCAAATAAGCATCATGTGCATTTTTCACAAAGTGGGACATGTGCATTCACTTTGAGGGTTCCCGTCTAAATGCCTTAAAGAAGGTGACATGGATGAATCAAAAAGTGACACGTCACTTTTTTACAAAGTTTAGACGGAAATCCTCAAAGTGAAAGCGCATGCCCCACTTTGTGAAAAGATAAACTTCATGCTCCCATTTGAAACCGACCCACACTACAAGTGCATTTACTCGTGCTTACATTTCCTATCACTTCCGTTGCTAACATTCTTCAATACCTCATCTAAACACAACACTAGACACTGGTCGGCATCTTTAACTCATGTTATGTGTTTGCATGATATTTTCTAATACTCTGTAATAGGGCGTAACAGGGGTGGACTCGGTTCCGGTCCTGGACCGGCCAGCTCCGATGTCAAGGTAAGGAAGACCGAGTCCGAACCGGATAAATCCGATTCCGAGCCAATTCTGGTCCCAGTTCAGACCCGTTCGGGACAGGAACCGGCCGGTCCAATCCCCAAAAACGATAATCGGGTCTGCCTTCTACCCATTCTAGTCCGGTTCAACACAATACAGGACCCGGTTTTGGTCCGGTTCGGGACTGTCGACTGGGTCCACCCCTACATGTTTATGACCAATCTCGCACTCATACACATACTCCCTCCGTTATACATGATTCCGTTCAGTTTGAACCGATGGTTAGACATCTAAGAACTGTTATTAAACCAATTTACAAATCAAGTACCGACATTCCAGTAACCAGTGTCATTTATGTCAGTTGGTTCAATTCGATTTTTTCTGTTCAACTTTTGATTTTTATAATAAAAATGTCGATCCTAGAAATCTAGAATAAAGAACTAAATATCATATACATAGGTATAACAAATAACAAAAGTATGAGTGCATCCAGCCATCCACCATCATTGTTGTTACTATATTAGTCAACTCGTACATGTTTTACAGAATTCTTTAGTTAGCAAAGTCATTGAAACATAGAGGTGGATAAAGATAAACTATTTCTTTAGATGAGTGATGCATACATATATAATTACATTTGTATAATTGTATCTAATGTTCACGACTTTTAACAACATTTCTTCTCTACAATGTTTTCTCAAACGTGAAACCATTGTTATATGTGCACATGGTACTATAGTAGTATGTTGCAGAGGAACTACTCTGACAATAGCAGAATAACTTCTCATGTTGGGGAGTTTCCTTCCAGGAAATACTAAGCACTGGTTTTGCTAGGAATTACAGGGAAGGGAACAACATCTAGGATATTATTGATCCCAGTGGCAAAGAGAACAAGAGAGTCAAACATTAGACTAAAACCGGAATGCTCCACTGTACCATATCTTCGAAGATCCAAGTACCACTCATAGTGTTGTTTAGGCAACCCAACCTCCTCTATCCTGAAAACATAATGAAGCTTCATTTAGGCAACAATGGTTGAAAAGACCAATGTCAAGTGAAGGGCCCTTACCTAGAGCTCAGAGTCTTCAACCGTTCCTCACTTTGGCTTCCACTAATCACAGTTCCAACCTAAACCATGTAGAGCTAGGGATAAATAACATGATGTTTTAGCACGGCTGTGCCTTTTTGGAATTAAGATTTTCTAATGATTAAACAAATTGTATTAACAAATTATTGGGCCTAAAACAAATTCCATTTTTTTGGCCTAGGGCTGTCGTCCCTGTTAAGGGGCGGAGCCAGGACACTGGGCCGATACAAAGAAAAATTTTGAAACAAATTTTGCCTGGATATTTTTACAACTAATAATAAAGACATTTTATAAATTTGGGTAGGCCCTCTCCTATCTCCGCCCCTGCTGTAGCTCTCTCCCCCTAGGGCCGCCACTGCCTCCAGGCAATGTAATTAGAACTGGACCGGGCGGGTCAACACGGAAACCGGCACCTGGCGCCTGAACCGGTCCAGTTATACTCAAACCCGTAAACACAGCGAGAACCAGAAAAACCCGTTGGCCCGTTTTCACCCGGCCCGGACCCGCAACGGCCCAAACCCGGGGAAACCAGGAATTCCTCTAAGAACCGGCAAATTTAAATATTTGTCGTGTTTCCACTCCACCAATCATGCCATTTGTAAACATTTGCTCTTTTAGAGTTCTTATTGCTTTAGCAAACGTAGTATTTACTAATTCACACTTCATAATAATACTACGTAATAGATATTGTAGTTATTAATTAATTATTTGAATATATAAATTTCAAATATAAGTTAAAAATACTTACATAGTAAATACTACGTATGTAATAGTATTTTCAAGTAATACGGAGTAATAATTAAAGTTATGTTCATGTTGTATTATTTTTGAAAAAGTATATGTAGTAATATATATCAAATATTTTAGAATATTAAATAATATGAAAATGTTATGTAATATTTTTATATATGTACTTAAACATATCAAATAACATTATTGATATAGTTAGTAGTTTCATGCTTACTGTTATTATAGTTTATTGATTATTGTGCATAATAATTACCCATTTTTTTAAATTATATATATTATTATATACTACGTATTCATTAATATACTAGATTATAAACGTTGACCGGGTTTTCCCGGCGTTGACCGGGTTGACTCACCGGGTCCGGGCTGACCCGTGACCCGATCATTCATTTGGGTCGCTTCCCGGTCCGGTTCTTGTAACATAGCCTCCAGGTCCCCCAATGAGTATTTTGGCAACATGGATGTTAACAAGGGAGATGAAATAATGACTGCTTCAATTACCTTTGGCAAAACTATATCAAATGCTGCAACTGTTTCTGCATCATCATTCAGACGCACATTGAAAGGTTTCAATTTTTTTGGATGGTCGTATATAATGATTGGCCTTTTATAGATTTCATCCACCAGATATCTGTCTCAAGAAAAACAAAGTCAATGAAAATTTAATTTTATCTTCCCCCGACTGGATACATCATAAGCCATTTTAAAACTGACTCCACACCTGGTGTGTTCATCACTTAGTGGAACTCCCCATTCTACAGTTTTTCCAAATTTCTTTTCAGTGGCCTGTTTACAATATCATCAATACGTAATAAAGGAAGTGTTTTGATATTTCAAAATTTAGAGTCCATTGGGTAGCTAAGAGCCCGTTTGGTAACCATGTTTTTCAGCGTATCAAGTTTATCAGCCTACTTTTTCACTAGACACATAACATTCAATTAGAAAAAGTAAGTCTCAAGTTATTATAGAGGATCATTTTAGTTATTTTCACATGTAGTTTTTTCTTTATTTTATTAATAAAATATATTTTAAATAATATTCCGTCCCATAAAATTGTTCCCGCATTGACTTGGATCGGAGTTTAAGAAAGTGAGAATAAAGTGGAAATGTATGGTTGTGATTGAGTAAGAAAAAGGTAAATTAATGTGAGCCACACAAAACTTTTCAAAAGGGGAAACTGGAACTATTTTTTGGGACAGTCCAAAAAGGAAACCGGGAACTATTTTGCGGGACGGAGGGATTATAATTTTTTCATAAATAAGTAAAACCAACTAGTTCAACCAATTCAGCCAGAATTTCATCAAATCACCCGATTCAGCCGATTTTGAAATTACCAAACGAGCACTAAAATGGCTTATTCTGCTTACCAGCAGAATAATAACAACAAGCAAATGCTGAACTACAGCACTTTTGACTTGCATATCTGGGTGAAACGAATTTTAGCAAACATTTTCACTTTAAACAACCTAACAAATTCAACCATATCAGCCAATTAAACCGTAACCAAATGTGCTCTATGTTATGCACTCAAAGAATGTGATTAAAGAAAAATTTACCTGTTTTAAAACCTTAACGGCATCTGAATAAGAAATTCTTTCAAGTGAACATGATGTCATGAACTTGAGGCGATCCGTAATACTTTTATCAAGTCGTTTCAAGAGAAATTTCACATCTTGAGTTGAATTTTCTAGAACTGATTTGCATATAAACTTTAAGAGGTCATCTGCGCAGTTCATGGCATCCTGGAATCCAGGGGAGAGGTAATATGGTTAACATGGATAAGCCGAGAATCATTGTTAAAATGTTTTATGAGATCATAAGTGAAATGTGTACCACTAATTTAGAGAAAGCCATTTCAGTTTCAACCATCAACATCTCTGGTAAGGATGTTTTCGACTCTGATTTTTGCACTTGAAACCTGGGACCAGATGTATAAACCTTTCCAAGTGCACATGCTTGACTCTCTAGGTGAAGGCGGCCAGAACCAGTCAAATATCTCTTATCTCCTTTTCGATGCGATCTTTTTATCTTAGCTTCCAAACGTGATAAAAGTTCCTTTATTTCCTCCAGCTCCTGCTTTTTGGCAACAACGGTTTCCTTGTTGTTTTCACTTTTTTCAAGTTCTTCTACTTCTTTCGATATTTCTTTGAAGGAAGCATGAAAACCTTCTAGACTAAGGGCACCACTATCAGCGTTATTGGTTAGTGGTTGAGTTGTGACTATAAATTCCTTGCTTAATCCGCTTATACTGGTGTTAGTAATTGTGGGCATGTGTACATACACAAAATCATTATCTTGGAAGAAGGTATGAAATGCTTGAGTAATAGCATCACGTATTCGCATAACAGATGCCACCTACAAAACCGAGCAACTTGATTACAAATTTACAAAAGATAGATAACTTAATAGTCATCCGTACTGCCATCTTTCCTTTTTGGTCCGTCCCTAAGATTGTCTTATGCTCCCTCCGTCCGGTTGAAAGGTTCCCACTTTTCTTATTTGGGTGTCTCATTTAAAGGTTCTTATTCCATTGTAGGAATTAATTTAGTCTATTTAATTACACCTTTACTCAAATTTATTTTTTCTATTCATTACATGTCAAGTCTTTTCCATCATTTGCAATGGAGCCAAAGATTCATTATTTTTTTTGCTTGATAATATGATGGAATAAAGAAAAATGGCTCACTAAACCGTATGCGCTTGTTTGTTATGAAGCAACAGTCAGTCCATGCAATTTTGGACGCGAGTTTCACTATGGGTCATTCGAAAACAGTCTCTTTGTGCTTTAGTACAGGGGTAAGACTGCGTACAACTGACCCCCCTTACCCCACCGTAGGTGGGAGCCTTTGCGGCACTGGGGTAAATGAAAATGATGAGATGATAAATTACATGTCAAGTCTCACAATGTTCCCTCTCCTAACTTATCTTCCTTTAATTACTTTCACTTTATATGTTTACTTTTTCTAAATTCTCTTTCCTCTTTTTTTACCCAAATTACTATAGTTAACCACTTGCCTAAAAAACCCTTGTCATTTACCCAAGGGAACCTTCCAAGAGGATGGGCGGAATACTAAATTTGGTAAAGTTTGTGTGATTCTAAGTCATTTTTACTTTATTCTTACTTTATCAATTCAATATCAATCACATAACTCCATTTTTCTTAATAATTGTGTCACCTCTTCAGGTTCGAAGAAGGAACACGCATAAGAGTATATAACCCTCAATGTCAGTGGGACGGAGGTAGTAGCAAATAGCAGAAAAAACAAGAGATATTACCCAAAATGGGACTAAAAAAGTTTGGAAATTCTAAAATAGGACTTCCATGTTTTTATTCTTAAAATAGGACTAATTACTGTCATATTTTGGCAGTACCAGACTTCAAACATGGCAGTATTTTCCAAATTTGGCAGTAATTAGTCCTATTTTGGGAATAAAAACATGGCAGTCCTACTTTGGAATTTTCAAACTTTTTTAGTCCCATTTCGGGAACTTTCCCAAAAAACAACCCTCATATGTTACGGTTGGTAGTATGAGGCTATGAGAGTATGAGCAATGAGATGTAGTATCTCCTTCTTTGGGCCATTAGGCCATAAGTGACTAAGAGGCGTAGGTGCCTATTTGGTAAAGGTGATAGTGGCAGATATTGGGGCTGTTTGTTTTTTGGCGTTTTCTGGCCAAAACGCTTGATGTTCTAGCGTTTCTTTTGTTAGAAAAGGGCATTTTTCCAACACACCAGTATCCAAACACAGCCATTGCAGCTGATGTTTATCAATTTAGCATGGTCTGTCAAATAAATCATTCTGGTAATATAAAAAAAGGCCAATAAGGTAAAAAGTTGACATGGAACTGCTTCTAAACTTTCAATCAAATTCATGATCTGAGCATAACAATTGGCAGATACACTAGGGTGATAATAGTAAAAAGGATGGGTGAGCAAAAGTTGAAAAGTGAAAATACGAATCACCGTTGTAGTTCTTGGTCGGAAGTGAGGCCAATCCCTTAAAAGCGTCAAGGGCAAGGGTTTCTTCGACAGTGGATAGTTAATCTGGTCAACGGTCCCAAGATGCAGAACTTTGTCTACTTTCAGTTCAATAGCATGTTTTCCCTTCGATGCTCGCTGCTGCAATATACCTTCTGCTAGTATGCACGTTCCAGTAGGCATGATTTGGGAAGGAATTGCCAGCTCAGAGTCCACCGCAACCTATAGCATATACATCAATACGATTCAAATTTTAGGGGAAAAAAGTGAAAGAGGCATTTTGTCGAACAGAATGTGATCCTTTTAGCATACCCGAAGAATGTTTACAGAGGAGCCATCGCTGACTTTCAAAATCATAAATGATGGGGGCGGCCGTTTTACTCCATCCGAATTCGGATTCTCAAGAATCTGGGAATGTCCTTCTCCTCTAAAAACCTTAATGATTGACCAGATTAGCGGGAAACTGGATAGAAGAACTTCCACACAGCTCACACCTTCACTCCCCGCAACCGGGTGAAGGTCAGTCTCCTTCTTTCTCTCCTTGGAAGACCTAACCCACCCTCCAATGACGACTCTCTGCCCAACATAGCTCAATCCACCATCTCCCCGTTCAAATATAGTTTTCAATATGACCCTATTCGTATACTTATTGGCGCTTGGTATACTGCCCACAGCTGTTTCTGAAGAGGCCATTTATTCTTGTCAATATGATCAGGAATATATTTTTTGGGTTTGATTTGAAAATTGATATTCGGGGAATGTAAATTTATTGTGCTGAAGAAGGGTTCCTCCATAAGGATTTCTATATATACGAACTGAGGAATGAATAGAATGGTAGGAGATGGATGCTTTGCTTGAGAAGCAAATGGGGAATTGAAGAAGAAGAAAGAAGGAGAGAAGGGAAGGATTGTTTCTGAGTCCGGCCATGTATAGTTAGTTCATCCTTAGGCCAGATCAACCCCATATACGGGGGGTATTTTATTTATTTATTTATTACGTAGAACGGAGTATAAATTACTAGTAGTAGAATTTCAGCTACTCCGTATATAAAATTCGATGTATATTTAAGATTTATTTAATAATTCATATTTTCAGCTTATCACAATAGTTTAAAATTAGTGTTTTCAAGTGGAAAGTTTGACTTAAAAAAGTTTCTCGGCTTTTGTATGAAAAATGTTTTTTACGGTTTCCTATTACACAAAAAACACTTATTTTATCAAACACTACCTATTTTTACTTTTCAAAATCACTTTTTTCTCAAACACTATCGACTTTTACTACTAGTCATTTTTTCCAGAATCACTTTCAAAAATGTTTTTTTAAACAGAAGCAGTTGCAAACACTCCCTTATGAGTTGGGTGCAAAAAAAACACAATCAACTTTTTTACCAAACATATACTAGGTTTCGCATGTCGAATTGTGAAACAAATCAACATTAATAAGGTTCAAATTACTTTTCTCGTGGACTTAATTTGTTAGAGTTGTTACACCTAGGTTTGAACTTTCCATTCTGATGTAGTCTATTTGAGCATAGTTTGATATAATTAGTTTAAATTTAGTCTTTTTTGTTTAAGTCTTATATAATTTGGTAAATATTTGTGTATGTGCAATTTAGTGATTTACAATTATTTAACTCTTATCTAGTCTTATATGATATATTTACATTTTATATAACATATGACTTTGATACAACAGACAGTCTATTACTCGAGATGTTCTCTCTAGGGTGGATTTCAACCGCTAGGGTTTTCTTCTCCGCTATCGATTCTTCTGAGGAGTGATCATCTTGCTACACTTTGTTAGGGTTTTTGTTTCCGCTGATCGAGTTTCGTTCGTGCGGGTAGTTTTTTGTGGAACGAGAGCTTCGTACGGCTTTCCTCTTTGGAATTTTGGAACGTGAGTGCGCAAGGGCGGTGGGGTGTGGCTTGGATTTTGTGGGCGAAGAAACACAAGGCAACATGATAGAGTTTTCTTTTGCACCTCAGACATGTATTTCAATGTCAAATCTCAAAAAGCAAATTGGCAAGAGCAAATTAGCGAGCGCAAGAAGAATGGGGTTTCAAACGAATTTTCCGGGGGTTGAAATTCTCTTCTACCATACTACATCACCTCGTCCTCCTCCAGAACCACCTCCATGCAAGGAAGAAATTTTGGGAAAGTTTTTATTTTCATATTATTTTTCCTTTCGTAGTACTTATTTTTATTTCAGTTCAAGCGGATGTGGTTGGAGTATTTTGATTTTTAAAGAACTTTTGATAGGCAGTATTGCATTTTCGATCGTTTTAGACTTCATCTTGCCTGTTTTGTGTCTAGCGAGTCAGGTTGCTTTGTATGGGTGGTTGACTCTAAGTCTATTTTTAGGGTTTACGATTGAATCTATAATAGCTGTCTAGATTTTATCTTCTTTTTTGTCTGGATTTTATCTTGCGTGTTTACTCTATATTAATGAAAAGCTGTTTTGATGATAAAAAAACATATGTCTTGATCGATTTAATTTCAATATAATTTGACTTGTTTAGATTGGAACAACTTTTAACATGATATTAGTATTTAATGATTGGATGTCCTTTAAGTGATTTTTAGAAATATTTTATTTTTATTATTATAACATTATTACATACACTAGATTTCAAAACTCATGTGATGCACCGGCATCAATAATATGCGAAAATCGAATTTAACTAATCTAATTCTAATGTATGAATTTTCTTTAAAATATACTTAAATAGTTGGTTTTATACTTGTGCATGTTTACTAATATGCATAGTAGAAATGTTCTTGTCTCGAAATATTAAATTGGTTTTAATGAAGAAATAATTACATAAATATGATCAAAATAAAGATGGTTTACAAAAATATGATTCATTACTGGAGTAGTAATGAAATCATAGTAATTCATGTTCAAGTTTTGAACTTTAGTTACCACAGCACTACGTTGTAGTAATGAATAGTCATATTTATGTAAATAAGTTTTATTTTAGTAATATTCTCGTAAAAAACCCTTTAATGAACACAGTTATATATTAACAAGTGAATCCCTATAAATTCTTTTAAAAGAATATGTAGAATATTGCAAAACACGTGGATTTATATTTCTTTAGTAATAGGAATAAATTCATTAATTTTTCTTATAAGATACCAATAAAGAGTAATAGGTTTTGTTGAAACCATGTGATAAAAAATTTGGTTTATTAGAAAATAATTAAAATAATTTGGTTTATTGAAATACTTTCTTCATTTATTTCCAAAATCCAAATGTTACGTTTATTAATATAGAAATTACCTTCAAAATCAGGATTAAAATGGAGAAAAAATTAAAAACATGAATTGAGATTTTCAAATTAACGAATTGAAATAGTACTAATCAGATATAATTATAATAAATAAATTGTAATTACATTCACATTCCGTGATTCTCCAAGTTAAATATAAAAATTCTTCATATTGTTACGTTCTCCAGAAAATAGTTGTCAATTTTACTCTCAATGTGCATGCATTCAGGATAAGTAAATTAAATAAGTATAAATAATTTCAACTTTGTAAATTACGTAGTATATTCTACCAATCAATTTTATTGAGATCTGTGAATTTAATGAATTGAAATAGTATTGATCAAATATACAATATAATAAGTAAATTATAAGTAAATACATATATATTGTGCAATTTCCCAAGTACATACATGTAACTCATTTTTCTTTATGATTTTATTCTCCATAATATGATGTAATTGATGCTTTTCAATATATATGCATGCTTTATGGGTAATAAACATAAATAATATTAGCCATGCTATTCTTAATTATATTTATCAAACAAAAACGTTTAACACGTCCCTATTCACACAAATGGGGATCGTTAATAAATACAATGCACATAAATTATGATAAGACTAAAGCTCTTACAAAACTAATATTCTAAATGAATTACTACGTATATAATATATATTTTCTAGATCTGTACAATGTTTTCTCTGCTGTATAAGGAAATTAATTATAGACAATGTATTATGAGATATATTCTGAAATAGTTAAGAATCCATATTCTACTTCAATTCCTAATACATTTTAGAGAATAATTGATGTATGCATACATACACATTTACTACATATATAAATAAGTATGACATTATGAGCCCGTTTGGTAGCACCAAAATCGGCTGTTTTGGCTGATTCTGCTGAAATTTATGATATTCTGGCTGGAGTGGCTGTTTTGGCTGATTCTGCTGATTTAAGAAAAAAAAAAATTAAAAATATATTTTATTAATAAATTAAAGAAAAAATTATATGTAAAAATAGCTAAAATGGTCCTCTACAGTAACTTCAGCCAATACAGCCAGAAAAGTAACTCCAACCTTACTTTTTCGGCTTATTACACAATTCAGCGCGCGAAAGTAAAAGTTACGTGTTTGGTGAAAAAGCTGGCTGATAAGCCTGATAAGCCGAAAACAGAGTTCTCCAAACGGGCTCTATATGTGGCCCATTGTATGTTCCCAAAAAGTATTTTTTTATATTATTCATTTGTAATTTTGTATAGGTTAACTCAATGTTAAACTTCACTCGTAAGAAAGATCTCATAAACCATTTATTATTCCATACACAAGCTAACAAGACTTTATGTGGAAGATAAAATTTTATAAATTATACTGCCTTTTTAAACGTGAGTTGCAAGATTGGGTAAACGATTAAAGTTTCATACATATAATAAACTTTCAACAAATTGGCTGTAAAATTTTATACAAAAAAAACTCAGTAAAAGTATGAAACATGCACACAAGTCTTTTTACAGTGATACTTGTCCTTTTACAGATAACATTATAGCTACCAACTTATAAGAGGCACGAATAACTCCACCTTCGATTTGTCATAGATTAAAGTCTCGAGATTTTATTCATTACAATAAATATATATAAATCAGCGTTAAATACATCGCAAGTAATATGAAACCAACTTTAATTACAATGTAAGAAATTTCAAATGTTAAGGCCAAAAAGGATATTTAAGCGGAATGTGAGAATAGGAGAACGGTGAAGGAGGACAGAAAAACAACTGAAAATTCTGGTTGGGTGATCACTGGAGCTACCTGGAGCGGATAGTGTGTACTCCGTAACAAGGAATGAGTAACTTTACGTTTTCCTTTATTAACTTGTAGAGTGTGAAACCCAATCTAACGGCTATTTAACAGAAGTGTTAGTCAGTGGCTAAAATGCACCGAATAAGTTTAAATTTATGTTAATTTGGTCTACTAAAAAGTTGAGTGTCCAATTCGAGATTCATTAAAAACCTTAGTGTCAGTTTTGACCTTTCTCCCGCCCATAAATACCCCCAATAACTAACTTAAGATTCTGGATCCTCACTCTTATTAACTTTCGTGTAGACTAAATATTCAACTAAAAAAAGTTGCATCCAAATGTTCAAAAAAAGGGGGCACAAAGAGATTAATGTTTAAGGTACCATCCACTTTGGTGGTGAAAACTCCAAGTTCCAAAAATTGTATCTTTGTCATTCAATTTCTTTTAGAGCGCATGTGATAAAATTGAAATTGATCGAATCAATTTAATATACTGAAATCGATTAAATTCTGATACATACAAGTCATACAACTGAATTGGCTGAAATTGTTGAATTGTGAAATAATTATGATTAACATGTGTTTTATTAATAAAATAAAGAAAAATTATATGAAAATATAATTAAAGTAGGCAGTTACAATAATATCAGCTAAAAAGTAACTATTACAAAGTTTATCGTGCAAATTTAAAAAATTGGTGTTCAATAAAAAGTTAATTAATTCAGTTGATAAATTATGTTAAAGAAACCGGACCGGGAAGCGACCATGCCGCGTGACCGAGTCACGGGTCAACCCCGACCCAGTCGGGTCAACCCGGTCAACTCTATAAAACCGGTCAACCATTTAACAATAATAAACATATATTTGTATACAAAATTTAAATAAAAGGTAGTTATTTC